GGGCTGGGATACTGCCAGGGCGCCTACACCTAGACAGGAGGACGATTAGGGTCCTCAACCAAAGCCTTTGGCTCAAAAGCCTAACCGCAAGGCAGCGGTGTTTGGCGGGAAATGCAAATGCATTACCATTTCTACGGAACAAGTCGCCACATGTTCCAACCCCCAACCTGGAGGGCCAGGAGACTGTGTTCGTCAGACCCCTAACCATTGACCAACCTGGTGTGAGAGACTCTGTGAGTGTCGCGGGACACTCTCCAGTATAGCTCAATGGATCGCTGAGGTGCGCAAACCGCCACACCACGGTAAGGTCCAGTCCTTCACAACACAATGCCGAAGAATTTCATTATTACTTATGAAGAATTCCACCCTACCTCCAGCTCCTAGACTCATGATTCGTATATAGACGTGGCTTTATTGATCAACTGTTGAAGGGAATGACAAATGTCGCATAGAATTCTCTGAATGAGTTTGGAACAAGTGTCAAAATTGTTTCATGCTAAGAAGTCGACCAACTCATTGATGCATTCGACAAAGGAGTCTCACAAGTTGAAGACTATGAAATCATATTGCATTGCAGTACCACTTTATCATACAGACGTCGTTTTTCGACAGATTCTTTCCTAAATTTTGAACATCACTCAACGTGGTCCCTTGCAATACGGGATTTCTTCCGCAACAGTCAAGTTTGAATCCCTATTCTGGCTCCCAGGTAAGCAACCGTTTGTATCTTGATATATATTACTCAATACTTGAATGAACCTGCTCTAACTTCAAGCGAGTGAGCTTGCAGTTGTTGTGACGGCAGTTAGACGTCGCCGCAGATTTTCTGGCATCAACCGAATATGCTAGCCTTGACAATATCCTGCACCCACCGTATCGAGAGTCAAACAATCCATCAACACTCCTTGGCCGTCATGTCACCTGAAGAGAGCACGAGAATTGAGATATTGTCAGGTTATCCAAGTCTAGGCAAGATTAGTCAGAAAGCTAAGGGTGGGGTTGAACAAAAGGCTTTACCACCAGTAAGTTCGCTCCGTGAGCATAGCTATCTCGAGCTTCCTGTGTCAAGAAACCAGGCGGTGAACCATAAAGGCAGTGAGAACAGCATTTTCCACACTGTGCCAATTTTCTTCCAAATGACCATATTGTAGACCATATTGCAGAGCGGCCTTCACCGGCCTTCGAACTAGCGTGATTCAGCATGTCAATTTTATTCTGTTCTCCCACCGGTTAACGGTGTACGTAAGTACGCTGATTCCAGCAGCGATACTCTGGCCACTGACAGATTATATTTACGGAACAACCGGTGGAATGCCGAGGACGAAACAAAAAGGGCAAACGACTGAGTTAATAGCAGTAAGCCACTGGCTTCGTATTCAACCATATCGGTCTCCAACCACCAAGTTGGTGAATCTTTAGCTCCTCACTTTGATAGACGGTATACACCAAAGTGACTAAGACTGGCTCAGATTACGCCATGGCCTCCCACATCGAGGCTTCCTTCCACCCTAATCCTAGTATCTTGATCACTATCAGCTGTAAAAACCGCGTACATATCATAGTGGTTCTAGCTGCTGCAGTTCCCCTCATCGATGATCTGGGGAGGTGGAATAAATAGCTACGCAGTGGAGGCGGTAGCTAATATAATTGATGCGTAAATACAGGGTGGGCAGAAGAATTTTCATTAAAGAGATTGAGAGGGGAACTATCCATTGAACGCACTAGACTCGATGCGCAAGCACTATTCAGGAGCGACTGGGCCATGTCAAACAATGTTTGTAGCAATTAATGTGTTCCGTTCTGGATATTCATACAGAGAGACATCAATGACCAGTTTGATGGTAGCAGCTTTCATACTTAACCTCCCCAGTTCTGCGAATATAACCCTTTGAGGAAGTCGGTCGACTGCCATACGCAGCACGTAGCCACCTAGAGCAACGTATGGAGTTTGATCAGTTTATCTATCGTGGATTAGTTATTTTTTCCGAATACCACTCGGCGTACTTGAACATTGATGGCGCGGTGTTCCCACCAGACTTGGACAATGCTCCGAAGATATCGATGGTCAAAAGCTGAAAGTACTTTGACGTCCTCGGCGCGCAGTGTCGGAAGCAGTATCACTGTTCAAGAATCTGTTAGGGTGTGAAGACACGATCGATGTGGAACATCTGGGCTCGTCCTAAGCGGCTTGAGGAGCACGACCGAAGTGGGGTCTTGTACTCGTGTTTCGGAGACATAACATACATCGATAGGGAGCGAAAGCAAGGTTTCAGCAAGGAATGCCTGTTGCCCGACTTGACATAGAATACGGGCATTAAGGGCTGCAACGTGGATCAGATCTTTTGAGGTTGAAAGCATTGTGAAAGCGTTTGAAAGTCTCGAGAAAGAGTTGGTAGGGTGATCACTATCGATCCGAGAACACCTTCGGTACCCGAAACCGATCCATCTGATGTTGCGATTTCCGCCACACGCAATCAAGATGACAAACCAGTTGCATTCTTCTCACGTACACTGCCCGTCAGCGGAAAACCCCATTCCGCTATTCAGAAAGAAGCGTGCGCAATTGTCGAAGAGTACGCAAATGGAGGCATTACCTACTCGGGACCCATTTCAAGATTATAATCAATCAGCGGTCCGCTGCACTCATGTATTCAACACAACAAAAAGAAAAAAATGAAAAAAACCCAACGATGGCGGATGAAGAAATCGCCTTTTTCTTTCAACGTAACCTACAGGCCTGACATAGAAAACAAAGCTGCTGACACACTCTTTCGGAGTATCTGTTCGAACACTTCATCTCAGCTGGATCTAAAACGCTTACATGCAACTCTGTGACGTCCTGGAGCAATACGCATGATGCATTTTCGTTCGTGCAAGAATCTCCCTTCTCCCCAGAGGACATCTGACCTGTTACTGAGCGGTGCCATATGTGTGTGGAATTAAAAACACGTTTCTTCAGGCCATTTGGTGGTACATTCATTTAAGCCACACGAACGTTTGAAAGTTTAAGCAATGACTTCAAGGGACCGCTGCCTTCGACGACTCGAAACAAATATCTACTGACGGTCGTAGAGGAATATTCCCGTTTTCCGTTCGCCTAAGCTTGTTCAGATAAAAGTTCGTCTACGGTAATATCATGCCTTGGGTCGCTTTTCGCTACACTTGGCCTGCCCAGTTTCGTGCATTCGGATCGCGGTTCATTATTCAGTTCGGATGAGCTCAAGCAGTTTCTTCATGAAAAGCGCGTTGCCTCCAATCGGACCACTTCATATAACCCAAGGGGGAGCGGTCAGACGGAACAATAAAATGGAACTTTGTAGAAAGCTATTACGCTTTTACGACGATCAATCATTTGGAAACCGTTTTGAGAGACATTCTTTGTTGTGCACCGCCGCTAATGCTAGTCCACACGAGCGAATGTTTAATCGCAATCAAAGATCCGAAGTCGCCAGGACCAGTTCTGATGCGGCGAGATACACGATCTTCGAAGTATGACTCCATAGTCGAAGAGTTTGAGCTCCTTGAGTGCAACTCTGAGTACGCATACGTCAGACACCGGCATGTGAGAAACAGTCTTCCCAAGTCACTTGACGCCTTCCGCAGATTTTGGATGTGCTCCAGCATCCGAACAGCAGCAACCACAGTCCAACAGTGATTCATTTATGGAGCCGTAAATACCTGACTCTGCTCCGGAAATTTAAATATTGAATTCTTCTGAACACCCATTGGTTATACAACAACAGCGGACACGATCGTGTGTCTTGCGCAACAGAGCGGCCTGGCGTTATTCAGTTACAAAGCGAATCACTGTGAACTTTTATCTCTGTGAGGGTGAATGTTGTATATTTGCTCTGTTTTTCGAACGTTTCACCGTTTATTGCAAAATCACTTTCTTTGGTTGCAGCTCTCATTGTCGAAGCCTTGGATGAATAAAACCTAGCTTCTGGGCCATCGGTCTTTTTCATTCTTGTTCTGATTGTCGCCCGTCACGAAGAGACTGGACCTTCCCGTGGTGTGACGGTTTGCGCACCTCAGCGATCCACTGAGTTATACTGGAGAGTGTCCTCGCGACACCCACAGAGCCTCCCATACCAGGTTGGTCAATGGTTAGAGGTCTGACGAACACAGTCTCCTGGCCCTCCAGGTTGGGGGTTGGAACATGTGGCGACTTGTTCCGTAAAAATGGTAATGCATTTGCATTTCCCGTCAAACACCGCTGCCTTGCGGTTAGGCTTTTGAGCCAAAGGCTTTGGTTGAGGACCCTAATCGTCCTCCTCCTCCTGTCTAGGTGTGGGCGCCCTGGCAGTATCCCAGCCCTCGTACAACCATGACATTCACGACTAACAATACTCTCATGCCACATCAGCCGAGTTGCCTTACTTGCTGCATACAGCAGCCGGATAATGCTGACGCCTCTCTTCTTTCTCCTTCACATACTTTTCTTCCCCCTCTCCCCACTCCATTAATAGCTCCCTCCTTGAAGGCCCAGCGCTTAGGACTGATGACTCCGTTCGTCATGCATCGGTTTTGCGTGCACCATCTGCTCGTCACATGGCGCTGACATTTACAGGTATCTCCAAATAAGTCCTCAAGCCACGACACCCAGTCTATCTGGCCACGTTCAATGTCCACACTCTGAAGCAAGCAGGAAAACAAGCTGCTCTTGCACTTACACTGGACTCGCTTGGCATTGATGTGTGCTGTGTCTCAGAAACGAGAATTCAAGATGCAAGCACAGTGATTGAGTTAACCCCACCGTCAGTCTCCACTCGCTTTCGCCTACGCACCTCTGGTGATCCAGAGGCTGCTGCGGTGGGATGTGCAGGGGTTGGTATTGTGCTAAGTCACCGGGCGGAAGTATCCTTACTTGACTGGATACCTGTTGA